CTTTTTTTGCTCCTATAACTTCCAAACCTTAATTTTAAGGTACAAACGTATAAACTAGAAAACTAAACACTGTGTTATCAGTACGCCCTACGTATTATTATAAAACTGTAATTGTAATCATTTAATATTGATTCAAGTGCATCTCGTGCATTTAGTGTTATATTTCAGTATTTCCTTTTTTCCAAGCGAAGAAAAACAAAATTAAATTCACCAATAATTACTAAATAGTTATGTTTATACATTATCGGTTCAAATTAACTATAAAGATGTATATATATACATTTTTTACTTATCATAAGTCATTATGGCCACTAGCTGTTTTAGGAGGGAGGGTGGTTGTCTGGAAAACTTAATACGTTATTAAAAGATTTGTTATTAAAAATCTGGGTGGTCAYCCATCCGGGAGCTAACAACACCGGCTGATACGTAAACTCGAAACGTTTCCGCAGTTGAGCGTACGACCATACCATATCGCGCCAAGGCGGTGCCACAGATGTATATTAATGAATTTTAAATAAAATGGATCAAGCGAAGTCTTTCTCATTTATCTCGATGTTTTGCATATGCCAACATTTCATTAAAAATTTATCGACGGTCCTTGGGGTAACATGAATTTAAACTTAGCACACATTTTTTAACATGCTTTAAAAATATTACACAAACTCTTTAAGTTTGAGTACTATCGTGGGTCCTTATTTTATCTATAACATTATGTACCTATTTAAGATAAAAGTTTCTTTTCTCCATCAGAACCAAATGGTATTTTTTTTTTAATTCCTTCCGAAAGTTGATATTTTTTCACCGTGTAAATGAATTGAGATAAAATCAAACGGATTTGGGTATTGACAATAATAACGCATTAAACGTCTGGTGAATAAAAAAAACGGGTTTATTGGATTTATTTTTATAATGGAGAAACTTAAATGAAATTATAAAGGAATATTGACACATGTTTTACGTGTTATATATACGTTGTCAAGTTGACAAGTAGGACATTTCTATGTAAATGATWGATTTACAGGGCATAATATAACAAAACGAAATATAGAGAATTAGGTCTGCTGTATAATTGGTGTCGAATGTAAAGGTATCTCATCATTGAGCTAATCACTTAATATACGTGTTGAATTTGATTTAAACGATAAATCATTTACAGTTTAAAATTTAAAATTTAAAATTTCACTCCTATAAAAAAAGAAATTTTGAGGCAACATTCGCATTTCATATTCAAGCTACTTACTCATGACATTAAAATTAATAATAATAAAAAATAATTTTATATTATATATATAAGCTTAATAATGAAGAAAACCAATTTAATTTTTGAAAAATGTTTATAAATAGCATAAACGGTAAAATAGTTTTTTCGATTRAATCATATACGTATAAAATATTTGTTAATAATTTAAATTTTCTAGGGTTGTTTGTTATTCAAGAACAAACAAGCAAAATTCGATTTTGTCGAATACTGGATCAAGTAAATATTCTATTTTTGTTTTGATAATTTTGAAATTTTAAAATAATTTAATATTTAATTAATATCATCATCGCCTACCTGGAGGTCCGTGTCCCAAAATGACAATGGATTATTGTATTGTCATCCAAGACCAAGGTCTATATCAATTTTCAGAATTTTTCATCGTCAAAAAGTGCCTCAAATCGAGCGCGCAAGATTTGATTACAGACAAACAGACGTGAAAGCGAYCTTAAGAAAAGTGTATAAAAACGTCCATATGTTATACAGGCTACATTCACCGTTCAGAATTTAAATCATTCGATCATTATTGGTTTGARCCTGAAGAAAAACAGATATAGGTAATTAAGTTTTATAAGTATATTATATTTTTTTCTATTCGAACGAAAGTTTTTTTCAAAGCTTTACACGGGGTGGTTTAATTGTTAAGATATCGGGTGTATAATTGATTTTGAGTTTGTAAAAAGTCTGAAAAAACTGTTCAAAAACTAAACTGTGAAATTGTTAGTTTTTAGTCTTTGATTCGATGGTGGACTGAAACAAATATATATTTTTAATTCGATGATCATTTTACGGTATTTGATTTTCCTCTAGTAATTAAATTTTTACAGTAATGTGCTCACCCTTCAAATAACAAGAACTAACTCAAACATCAAATAGCTTCTTAACTTTAGAATGATAATGCAATTTACACGATTATTGTTATCTACTTGTGGAGAAAATAATGTGTGAACCACTGATCAGATAATATGGTGGCACAACGCCASCTAATCAGTCAACTATCAATACAGCCAAAGTGTCTACACCAATAATTAAAATAAGCAACAATCGGATATTGAATAAAAAAGATTATATCTCCTTTAATAATTCCGAATGGCAATAATCCAACTATTGTAAACGAGAAAACAACTTTCCACCTGCAGTCATACATGAAATTCGGTAATTWAATATAATGTCATTAAATATTCAATTTTCAATACTTTGAAATTGAATTTGATACTAGTTATATTAATATAATGATTACACGATAACACAATCATGTTGGAAAACAACGCATTACGTGTCAACTTTTGAAAATATGCGAAAAAGACGAACGGGTGATCCCTGTGTTAGGTTCAATAAAAAAAATGTAAATATTTTTGATTCGATATAGAAATTCAAGTACTTTATATCAATCGGATATTCAAAGATTTTATTGGTTTTCAATATTATGTTTAAGGTGAAAAATTGAACGAAATCTTATGTCGGATCTTTGGAAGTCACTAAAATTTTTATCAGGCGCTTAACTGTTTCACGTTAATAAATTTATTTTGAATATTTT